TTGAAGTGGTGTAGTAGTAGTAGTAGAAGTAGTAGTAGTAGTAGTAGTAGTAGTAGTAGTAGTAGTAGAAGTAGTAGTAGTAGTAGTAGTAGTAGTAGTAGTAGTAGTAGTAGTAGTAGTAGTAGTCGTAGTAGTAGTAGTAGTAGTCGTCGTAGTAGAAGTAGTAGTAGTAGTAGTAGTCGTAGTAGTCGTAGTAGTGGTAGTAGTAGTAGTAGTAGTAGTAGTAGTAGTAGTAGTAGGAGAAGGGGGCGGAGGAGGAGGAGCCAGAGGAGGAGGAGGAGGAGAAGGAGGAGTAATGCAAATCATACGGTAGGTTCGTGCGGCGTCGCGCGCATAAAACAAATCGACACCGCGTCGATCGTACAATTTTGAACCGATCGCGGCCCCGATCGTTCAAGTTCGAAATCCGTCGGGTCCTGTGCGCGTTGCTCTGCCGCCCCAGCACTTCCGCGCCGTTCACCCTGCGGACTTCAACCTTGAACGCCTTCGCTGGCATCGCCGACGCGCCATCGCGCGAACCTGCCTCAGCGTCAAGGGTCCAGCGAGGGTGGTGCCAGCCTGGCCTCGGGCGGGGGCACTCCGTGAGGACTTCCCGTGGGGTCCCGTCGTGAGTGCCCCTCGACGCAGAGGGCCGACGCCGAGGAGAGGTCGCAGCAAAACGAAAAAACACGACAGGAGCCCTGACTGAATCGTTCTGCCGCGCTTCTCGAACCGAATCCGTGATGGCCCTGGGGGCCCGAAACTGGGCAGCAACGCCCAATGCGAAAAACTACGACGCAGACTCCGAATCTCGCGGGCGCCTTGCCCTGGCGCTTCGTTGTGCCGTGGCTGCGAAGATCCCAAGAGGTCTCCCGTGCCCCGGGCGGGCTTGGCATCTCGAGCCGTTGTTTGGCGGTCCTGGGGCCCAGTGAGGGCCTCCCTAACAAACTCCAGTCGTAATCCCACCGGCCTTCTCGGCGTGAGTGGTTTAGCGGGTTTCCTCTCCCATCTTCCCTATTCCCCTTCGGGGAGGCTATTCCCTATGAGTAAACACCCCCTTCCCCAGGAGACCAGCAGTCAACCAGGAGCAATGCCCCCCCCACCATCCCTGTCAAAAACAATATAACATGGACTTTGGGGCAACATCTTGCGAGCACTTCGAGCTGCTTTTTGACAGGGACGGTGGCGGGGGAGCGCACACTGCCTGCTGTGCGCAGGGCCACCCTGCCCTGTCAAGAGCAATGCACAGGGCACCTTGCGGCCAAGTCCAGATGATTGCGCGGGCACCCCGCGATCACTACGCCTTGGATCTTGACGGGGGCGGCGGCGGAGGGGCTGGCATGGTGACTGGTGCGTGCAAGTCCACCAGGCGCCATGATAGCCACCCCGCCCCTCAATTGCGCCTTGATCTTCGACAAGGGTGGAACGGGTCGCCATGCTTCCTGGTGTGCACTATCACGTGCACGGCGGACCTGGCACGCTCTTCGCGCTTCGGCTTCGCGTGCCCCGAACGTGGCGCACCTGGCGTTGCTG